TCATTATGCACAGACGCGCAAAAAAACATGCACACTTACACAGTCACAAATGCACATGTTGTGGTAGATGGAAATTTGTGAAATAGTGTTGCACAGTATACATAACATACTCAAAAATCGTATTGATGGACTACACTAACAACCTTTCATATACTACAATTTTGTTAGTCTAGTGCACGCGCGAACACATACACACACAAAAACACAAGTGCACTACATGCGCGCACGCGCACAAAAACATAGGCGCACACAATATAAATGGATATTCTAGTTGATTGTAGATTATGCAATAGTGTTGCCCATTTTTTACAACAGACTCTAACAAAATAATGCCGGTGGACGTCAACTTACAATTCATCATATTACACAATTTAAGAAAGCCATATTGTACCAATGATGTTGCATTATCATTAGGATTGCTTTTCTGCACATCTTATTGTTCCTCAGTTCCACCTTTTGATAAAAGTATTCCTGGTACAACTATCTCTGACCAATGCATCTTTGATCCTTTCTTATGCTTATCAGTATCTATTTTTCTTAACAATCTCAAGCATGAGTTAGTCCACCATATTAAATCATTTAAATTCCTAGAAATAGGATTTACTACTTTATATAATACATCTAATTATACTTAACAAAACCTACGTATTCTTATTTAACAAAAGATTTACACTTTACATATCGAGTTTTTTTTACGGCCAAAGGAAATATATTCCAAATCAGCTCATTTTGGCATCGTTTCCAGAGGTTTTGCAACATTTGCAAGATTGGGACCCCAGACGGCTATCACATTTCTTGTCTGCGAGAAGCTGAGAGAGCTTGCTGGAATGCATGCGATCTAATTTCTTCAATTTTGCGTTCTTAGATTCAATGAGGTGCTTTGAGGAATTCACCCATCGGTTCAAGAGTCAACAAGAATGGATAGATTCTAACATACTTGCAAAATTCATCATCATTATTATTATTGTCCTCAACGGAGGATTCATTTTGATTTTTTTTTGGCAATGAATAAGATGGATAACTTCCATCTCCCTCACATTCAATTTGTAGATTATGTCACTTGACTGAACATGTAGATTGACATAAAATTCTCCCATTTTGTTGATTGTAGTGATATATTATTTATATTGAAACACCGCAGTTTGAATATTTGTAATCAAGCTAGTTATATCAATGGAATTTTTTTTATATAATGCTTGTTTTTGACAAATGATTGAAAAGTCTTTACATGATATATACTTTGGTTTTTTGTAAGCTGGTAAAGTAGATAGATTATAGATAGTTTATATTTAATTTTGAGAGCATCTCCAACCCTACTCTCCAAATTCGACTCTCCAAATTGGAATATTCCTAGAATATTTCAATTTGGAGAGTGGAATTTGGAGATTTGCTCCAACTCACACTCTCTAAATATTTTTCTTTTTTTTTTGGTCAAAGGAAGCCATACAAATTAATAATGTTGGATAGTTTACATTAATAATTTTATTTTTAATAATTTATTTGGAAAAAATAATAACATTAGAAAGGTGTCGACTAGAGCTTTAAAATGAACCCAATATTAATAATGCAATACAACATATTAAAAAAATAAAATCTGAAATAACAGTGACAAAACATATATCGATAGAACAAGGAAGCAAACATAAACCTCTAATACAATATACCATAGGTCGCAAACATAAACCTCAAACATAAAATATGATAACAGATAATTAAAATTCCTGCATGTCATTATCGTTATAACTACCGGTTCCATCTCAATCTCTTGATGAACCCCCATATTCATTTCTTCCTACAAAACCAACTTCTCCCGCAAACTGAGAAAATCCTCCTTGATCTCTAGAGGGAAATCCATATTCGTTTTCTCATCCTACAGCTCCTCTAAGAAGCAGCTCCTCTAAGAATCTCTGAAAATCCTCTTGACCCTCTGGAGGAAAATCCATATTCAAATGATGAAGCTCTATATTCCTTTCTATTAATAATTTCTTATTTTTTTGTTGATAGTTAAGCACGTTCACTTTGATCGACGATCTTACTTAGATCAATCAATATAATTTGTCTATCCTCGCTTTCACGCTAAAGAGCTAATTGTTGGTCACGTTGTTCTACTTCTCTAGCTCGCAATTCTAATTTTATTTTTTTCATTTTCAAGTTTCATTATCACCAATCGCTCTATTTTTTCCTGCTCATTTCACGTTTAGCATCCATCTCTTGCATACTCTTAATAATTCCCTCCTCAGAACTGAACTCCGCCGACTTTTTCCTTTTTGTCTTCTCCTTCTTTCTTCCAATAGGCCGACTTGTTGGGATGTCCATGGGAGACTGACCATCACTCATGTTCATAAAACTTTCGCTCTTCGTGTTGAGATCCATGACGTCCTCTGTTGCATTAGGCCGACTTTACGTGTTCGACTCGATATTGACACGACTGGACACGGATCTTGGAAACATCACCCGACAAGAGGTGATGGTGAGAATCCTGTGATTGCAAGAAGACAAACACAAGACTTGATATTGACACGACCGGATAGGGGTCTTGGAAACATCACCCAACAAGAGGTGATGGTGAGAATCTGGTGATTGCAAGAAGACAAACACAGGACTCGATATTGACGCGACCGGATATGGATCTTTCACTACTCTTTATTAATATGAACTCTAAATGCAAAACTCAATATTTCACAACTCTTTTCTCTCCATACAATAAAATATGAGCTTTGGAGAAGGGCCATCTTGGAACCACTCTTCTTCTTCCTCCGATGGAGTGACCCTCGATTTTGCTTTCAAGACTGGGAGAATGAACTGGCTGAGCAAGAGGAGCGAGATGAAGTCTTGGAGAAAATATTGGCTCGTCGTCTTCAAGAGAGCAAAGAACTAAAACGTAAAGGATCGATTCCCGATTATGTGGTGATCAATCGTGGAAGAGAAGAAGGTAACTCTCGACTTTGGCACGATTATTTTTCTGAGAAACCAAGGTAACTCTCGACTTTGGCACGATTATTTTTCTGAGAAACCCACATATGGGGATGCTCTTTTTCGCAGAAGGTTTCGATGTCGACGAGATCTTTTCTGAGAAACCCACATATGGGGATGCTCTTTTTCGCAGAAGGTTTCGATGTCGACGAGATCTATTCATTCGCATTGTCAACAGAGTAAAAGGGCACGGCAACTACTTTGTACAGAAAAGAGATGATCTTGGTGTATTAGGATTATCGACTTTACAAAAAGTAATAGCAGTGCACCGCATGTTGGCGTACGGAACTTCGGCGAATAGTACCGACGAATATATTAGGATTGGTGAGTCAACCGTAATCTAATGCTTGAAGAGGTTTTGTCGGGCAATTATAGAGATGTTCGAAAATAAATATTTAAGGTATCCCACTGTGGGTGACATTGCACGGTTGTAAAGGAAAGGCGAAGAGCGCGGATTTTCGGGAATGTTGGGTAGTTTAGACTGCATGCACTGGAAATAGAAAAACTATCCAACAGCTTGGGTAGGACAGTACTCGGGACGTCACGGATGCCCAACAATGATTCTCAAGGCAGTAGCCTCATATGACTTACGGATATGGCATGCTTTTTTTGGATTACCAGGATCTAACAATGATATTAACGTACTGCAATCTTCAAATTTGTTTGACCAACTAGCACAAGGTATTTTCCCTCCTACTAATTATAGTATTTTAGGAAAGAATTATGATACATGTTATTACTTGGCCGATGGGATATACACCAAATGGTCTACTCTTGTGCAAACAATATCTCAACCACAAGGGCCTAAGAGGCAACTCTTTGCTGATATGCAAGAAGGATATCGAAAAGATGTAGAACGGGCTTTTGGTGTTTTTCAATCACGATTTTTCATTATCAAGGTACCATCACGTTCTTGGGACAAGCGGGGACTACATGACATTATGACTATTTGTATTATACTACATAACATGATTGTGGAGGATGAACGCGATGTGGAACCAGAGATTATTGTGCACGACGAATCTTCAAGGCCTGAAGAGATGGAGATTGATGATGCCGAATGATTCCATGATCGACATTGGAAGATTCAAGATAGGGAGCTCATTTTATGCTTTAGAACGAGCTAATTGAACATTTATGGCAGAGCACGACAACGGAGGAGTGTAATTTAAATATTGTAATTTATGCTTGTATTTTTTTATGGGGCAAGTTAAATAGATCCCCATATTTAAATTTTCATGTCTGATAATTATTTATTTAATTTAAAAAATAATAGTTTTATAATAATACTAAAATAAATTAATCTTAGTTTTATTTTGAAGATCTCGATGAGACCTTTCAAAATATATAATTATTTTGAAAATTAGATTAATAATTTTTTAACTATATTTATTTGAAATTAAACATTTACTTTAAATTACTAAGAGATGGCAAAGTGGTAATTTTTAAGAAACTAGGTTTTATGCACGTGCAATACACGTGTTAAATATCATGATTAAATATATTTGGTTTATTTCCTTACTAAAACTTATTCCTCGGTTCCACATTAATGGTTTTTACTTACTTATATCTCTAAACTTTAGCATTGTAATTGTTTTTTCTTTAATGTTTGTTTAAATGAACTGCACCCAATTTAAATTTTCATATTGATAATTGAATTGACAAGAAATAAATGTAATTCGAATCAATTTAAATTATCATGTCATTGAGACCGACATGAAACCAAGCTTGACCTGAGAAAATATAGCATTGCAAAAGTGAAAAACACTTCAAAAAATAGCGTTCTAAAAGGAAAATAAATAATTAAAACTTATAAGACAAGATGCCTTGTTACAAGTGGGCTAAAATGACACAAGATAATTTAGAGTTTGTTCCTAATCCTTAATAGACTTTAAAAAAAATCATAAACTAAAGATTAATGCTAAATCTAGTACACTTTTATATAATGAAAGCATCCACATAAGCATATAAAAGTACTAAAAAGTTTATGAAAATCACTTCTAAAGATTCCTAATTCACTCAAAAATAACTATATTATTCAGAAAATAGTGCATTTCATTCATTCTGTTTTATTTTTTATTGAGACGTTATCAATCATTTTCCACCTTTATCGTTTTCGATAAAATCAGACTACTTTTAGATACTGAAAAAGGATAGTAAAACCTTAAATTAAAAGTCAAATTTACATATCTTAATGAAAGAATATCAAACAACTACTTTTTCTAAGTTTTGAAATTTTAGTCGATTTTTCGTGATTTTAAATTTTAAGGGTATGTTTTGCAGCCTTTGAAACTTTGAGAGTGTTTTTAAAAAAAATAAATTTTAAGTTAGGTGGTTGTAATTTTCATGTTTCATGTGGTGGTAGTAAGTTTTTGAATGTCAGAATATTTCTTGCAACTTTGAATTTTAAGGATATTTTTTACAATTATTGAAACTTTAAATTGTTTGTTGCAAAATTTAAATTTTAGCGGTATGCTGATAATTTTGAGATTTGATATGTATTAGTTATAAGTTTTTAAATTTTAGGGTTTTTTGTCCTTTTTAATTTTTGAAAAACTTTTTTATAATTTTTATAACTTTAAGTTTATTTTTTACAAGTTTTAAATTTTTTAATGCCTGATGGTAATTCCTTAAATTCATCTTTGTTGTTCGCAAGTTTTGAAATTTTAGAATTTCAGAGTGCTTTTTTAATATTTGAACTTTTGAGCGTGTTTTTATAGTTTTTAAAATATTGAGGGTTTCATGTTTGTTGTTTTAAGTTTTGAAACGTCTGGATGTTTTGTGTAATTTTAAACTTTTAAGGGTAGTTTTGTACAATTGTTAAAACTTTTTGGGTTTTTTTTATATATTATAGCATATTTATCTTTAATTTATTGACCTCCAAGTTGTTCACATGGGATTAGGATAAGATATAATTATGATTATAAAAGATTAAAATTTAAATGAAATATTAAAAATAGTCAATGGTAATATTGACCATGTGATATAATTATGATTATAACAGATTAAAATTTAAATGAAATATTAAAAATAGTCAAGGGTAATATTGACCATGTAAAGATTTTTCCGAACTCGTACTTTTAAAAGGAGTATGATATGATTAAATAGTTAAAAGTGGCAAAGTTATAAATAATAAAAGTTTAAATAGTGACTTGGAGAGCCTCTCCAAATTCTAGCTTCACTCTCCAAATTTGGAGATGGTTCTCAAATTTGGAGAGTG